GTCACAGCCAGGCTCAGTGATGGGGGGCTAAACAAACAAAGGAGTTTTGTTTCAGTAGTGGAGATACAACAGAGAGCCTTGAAAGCACTAGCTGGATGACCCCTTGCTGCCCCAGCCTGTTGTTATGTTCTGTCGAGTCCCGGACTCACAGCAGCCCCATGTTCCCCACCACCAGCCGTCGCCTCTGTCCGAGCTGTCTTCACAGCTGAGAAGCGTCTTGATGTGTTTGTGTCTGTTCTTGCAGTCACTGGATATTTAGAGTGTCTTCCAATCTTGGGGTCAATTCTCCAGCTCTGCACTGGACCATATTATGTTAGGAAGTGTTGGAACCAACCCATAGCTGACCTTCTAGTGGATTTTCAGAGACAGTGATTCGCACAGGAGAAGACTGACCATCCTTCTCCCATGGAGCTGCGGGTGGATCCAAACCGTGTGCCATTGGGATTGCAGCGCAGCTTCTTACTGCCAGAGTTCAGTGTTATGATGTGTAGACTTTACCGAAGTAGATCGTGAGTCCTGTTCTCCTGGTCTCTCTGAGTCTGGAAGCTCCACTGAAACTGAGCCACCGTGGGTGACTACTGGCATTTGAAACACCAGGGGCATCATTTCCAGCCTCATAGCAACACACAAGCCCCCACAGTGCTGGGAACTGACAGACCGACATGGCCCTTTATGCCCTGGCCCTGGGACACTTGTCCAGCCTCACCTTCCCCACCTGAGCAGGCCTGACTTATGCTGTCTCAGCGTCTTTGTGAAGCGGGCTGTTCCTTCTCTCTGGGATACTCTTCTCTCTCGATCATTGATCATCGTCTGCCTCCCTCAGATGCTACTCGATGATGAACTTGATCTTGAGTGTTTAAGTAGCCTGTGGCCTCCAACACCAACTCCCTGGACCATCACCTGTAGTATTGTCTTTTTTTTTTTAAATGTTATTTATTTTAATGAACATTTACAGAGATTTTGGATTTCCAGTGTCACTGTGGTCGCTTCCTTTATTTGTGTGTCTTTTAAGCACTTGATGCTGAAATAACTTCCTCTGTTTGTTTGTCTGCTTTGCTTCTGTGTGCACAAGGAGGTCTTGGGCTCAGTGGGGACAGGTGTGCTCTGGCGTGGTCACCGCAGTGTTCCCAACCCCTCCTAGTGTGAGGCGGGGTGGGGTGGAGTGAGGTGGGGGACTTGGCAAATATCTGTTGGATGATGGACGAATGGCTCTGGAAGAAAAATGTGGACCAAAACTCAAAATCACAAAGCCAGGCCAAGCTTACTGGTCTAATGGAGACGTGGATACTCGAGACTTGACTCACCCCTCAAGCCTGGAGTTGATATTACCCTGTGACTCAGTCCCAGACAGGCAATAATAGACCTGCAGCCCCAGGAGGAACACATTCCTCAGGACAGCCAGCCACAGGTGATCAGAAGGATAGCCTTTGCCCAGGGACACGGCCCCGAGGGCAGCCAGAGATAGGAAGGAAGGGTGGGAGTGGGCAGCCCTCCGGAAGTGAGAAGTCAGCAGAGTGCTGCTTCCATGTGAGGATTGTAATCAGTGTAAAGAAACATGACATGTGTAAATTGTTGAAGCTGGTTTGCTCTGGGAACCCAAGTTCCAATAAAAAATTAATTGGAAATAAAAAAAGAAAGTGACAGAAGTTAGTCATGCACACACCTGATGTCCTGGGGGAATAAGAGTGGCCAGATGTCCTTCCCTTGTGAGTGCCACCTTGTCTATTGGTCTAGGGACCTGACCTTCCATTAGAATAGGTGACCACCCCAAGGTGACCATATCCCAGGACTGCCTGGTACCTGCCTTCCACTTTGCCTTCCACTTTGCAGAGATTGGAGAACTATTTGTGAGGAGAGCCTGGGAGAAATGAACATTTCTGAGCTTGTCTGAGCAGAAGCCTGGAAAACATATCTTCACCTGTGTCTTCTCACTTGGTGATTAGTAACTGGAAAAAAGACGACGTCCAGCTGCCTGTCTCTAGGAGCAGATCGTGCAGGCACTAGGAGTGAGTCTTGTACGTGCACTGTATTCTGAGGCCGGTGAGAAAAGGAGCAGCGTGGATACTTTAAGGGCCACTTTCTGACCTGTCAGTGTCAGGGGCGCTGGCTTTGTAGGATGGTCAACGGGAGCAGCTAAGGGGACAAGATTGTGGAAAGGGCCTGGGAGGGACGCGTCCAGGGGTCTGGTAAGGTTGTTAGTTCCATGTTTCTCCGTGATGTTTGTCAGATGCTCTTGTGCTTGATATTACAGCCGCCAGGCTTCCTTGCTGATGGTGCAGTCTTTAAGTAATTTATCAGAGTTTTTTTCAAGTCAAGGTGACTTGTTTGCAAATCCTTAGTCCCTGGGATAACAATCTCACAGCCAGCTAATGAATCGAGTTAATGGTCATAGGCAACTTTTATTATCATCAAACAACAACATACAAAGCATACAAATGACTTCCCTAGCTCTAAGAGAGATGCAAATCAAAACAACTATTAGATGTCATCTCACCCCAGTAAGAACAGCAAAGTTTAGCAGAACAGCAAACAACAAATGCTGGCGAGGTTGCGGAGAAACTAGAACCCTTACTCACTGTTAGTGGGAGTGTAAAATGGTGCAACCAACCACTGTGGAAGGCGGTATAGCACTTTCTCAAAAAGTTGGAAATAGAAATACCATTTGACTCAGAAATTTCATTACTAGGAATATACTCTAAAGAAACTATAACTGCCACCCAAGCAAATATAAGCACATCCATTTTTATTGCAGCTTTGTTCACAATAGCAAAGAGTTGAAACAACCCAAGTGCTCATTAACAAATGAATGGCTAGAGAAGCTCTAGTATATTCACACAGTGGAATACTACGCTGCATTGAAAAAACAAGGAACTCATGAAACAGTATACAAAATGGGTGACCCTGGAGGACATCATGCTGGTTGAAATATCTCAGTCACAAAAGGAAAAATACTGCATAGTGCCACTGTTGTAAATCAGGACTGACATCAGGGTTGGGGAGAATCTAAGAGGGGATTACTAATGTATACTACATTGAAACAGATGAGGGAGAGAACTGTTTAGAAGGAACATATGATTAGGTATTATTGTCGTGACAAGAGTCCAGAATGAAAGCTGCATAGTGGAAGGGACTGAGGGGGAGGGATTGTATAACAATTAAAGAAATGGTTTTTTACTTTTCAAAGAGAAAAGCAAACTGGGGGGGAGGGGTGGACAGGGAGGAAAGTGTGCAACAATGGATGAATGGAAGTCCAAAGTCTCTGTAAACTTTCATTAAAAGAAAAATAAAAAAAAAACAAAACCCAGATGCTCTGCTGAAGAAGGAGGGACAATCTCCTCTTGTACCAGTCAGATCTGATTTGATGGTACACACATAAAAAAGAATAAATTTTTTTTAAAAGAAAAATTTTAAAAAAACAACCAACCAACCAAACCAACCAACCAACCAACCAACCAACCAACCAACCAACCAACCAACCAACCCTTTGCACCTTTATAAGAGCCCTGCAGGTGCAAATGCCATTGTTCACAGAAGGTGCCACTCCATGAGTCTGCACGAGCTGTGCATCACCGTGTAGCCAGCGTGTGGATCTAGGAACGGAGGGTCAGCGCCCCATGCCCTCCTCTGCCCCACCTGCCAGGCTTGACTTCTGGTGAAGCTTTTCATGCTCAGCTAATATCTGGAAGAAGTGAAGTTTCTGAGGGACTGACTCATTGAGGCCGGAGAATGGAAATGAGGTTCTGTCCTAGTCAGCCCTTCAGGACAGATTATTCCAACCCAGAGGTTTCTGGACTAGCGGACCTCAGTGGGCTTGAATATAACGGAGATGATGAGGACTGCACAGGATTGGGTGAGGTTTGGATCTGTTGTTCATAGGGAAGTTATGAGTTGTAGTGGACTCAGTGGTGCCTAACAACACCTCTTCACTCAGGAGCCCTCTCTGCAGTCTCACTGCCTCTGGTTTTGAGGACATGCACGCACGCACTTCATGCATGGATGTGGAGGTCCTGACTTGAGTTGTTGTGGTGTTTGTTTTTTTGTTTGCTTCTTTTTTATGCTAGTTTACTTACAGAATTTGTTTACATTGTTTTTCACACCAGATCTTTCCCTTTTCCTTTACCCACCCCTCCCTCCACCCATCAAATTGTGCGACCCTATGATTAAGCTCTCCCCTTGAATCCTTGTACTCCTTCTACAATGATGGTTTTATACAGTATTTGTCTTTAGGAGACTGAGTTCACCTGACTTGATTCATGTGGAAGCAGCATTAAGGGGACCTTTGAGGCCAGGCTGGTGGCACCTTTCTGTAAAGGAAAAACCTGGGTAAGGAAGAAGAGGTAGGGAGGCACCGGATACCAGGATATCAGAGGAATTGGTTTGACTGGTCCTGGGAGCAGACCCAATTAGAAGTCTCTCCCTTTAGGATGAAGAGACAGCTGAGGGGGACATACTGTGTGAGGAAGTAGGGGACCATTTTAGGGACACTGATGTGGGAACGAGGTGACCATGTGGGAAATCTGCTGTAGTCAGCTCTGAAACACTGCTCTGAAGGGCTGCACCCCCCTTCCCTTGCCCAGTGTCTGAAGAGAAAGCATTTTTGCTGAGAAAGCAGCATCAAGTGCCAGCGGCTTTACTGGATTCCTTCTTTTTTAAGGAAAAAAAGATTCTGAGTGTAAGGGCTTGTCCAGGTCTGGCACGGCTCAGGCTGTCCTAACAGAGCAGAAAGACAGCGCCCCGTCCTCGGTCTGACCACTCGGAATATGGAGGGGGTTGGGAGAGGGCTGCTCTGCCCCACAGATGTTTTCCTCTAACTTCTCCTCAGATTTTCCCCTGACTACTTAGAACCAAGGTGCGGTTTTTTTCCAAGTTTGATTTAGTATGAAGCCTCAGACGTGGCTTCAGGATAATGTTTGGTTTTCATGCTCATCTGTGGGGCCCGGGCTTTTTGGTGAGGGAGCCAGGTCCGAGGCCGAGTACAGCACAGTGTCTCCTCAGGGCCGGCCAGTGTGTCTGGCCAGTACGTGACTCTCAGGCCTGTGTTTCACACAGATATTTTGATTTCTACTTTGCTTAGCAACCGATCGGTAGCTTTTCTCTGCTTTCTGAAATCCACTGTCTTTCTGGAGAGCTGCCTGGGTTCCCAACTGATAAGTCTGGAAGGAACAGCTTGAGCCAGTCTGAGCTAACCTCAGAATTAGCATATGAAGGGAACTTTTTTACTGAAACCTGGGAGGTTCTGTCCTCTGGAGACCCTGAAACACAAGGAGATGGTTTGTACCGCGTAAAAATTGTAGCTACAATGGCACCTCCAAATTTTCAGCTTTGTTCATTAACCTACTTGCTTTTGGGCCCAGGGGCGTGGTTTGACCTGCCTTATGGTTGTTATGGAAATATTACTGAAGCAAGTGGTGTGTTTGGTGCACTTATTTTGATCTGGCCTGGCTACCTGCTAATCAGGCTTGTAGCCTGCATGGCCAGGTTTCAAGACAAAAGGCAGACTAGTGAAAGCTGACTGGAACTGTCCTCTCCCCGGAACTCATGCCTGCGTCAGGATGGATGGGTGGTGTGTCAACACGGTGAACACGCCTACAATGTTAAAATGAAAACAAAGACGACTGTTCTAATCGGGACACATCTGATCCCACAAAGTGATATCAAATGCTTCCAAATCACGGGATTGTTGTGTGCTGCAGAACTGACTCATTAGCTGACCCTGCAGGGTTTTTCAGAGGCAGTAAATCACACAAAGTTGCTATACATCGCAGGCGACTCAATGGCACATAACAACAGTAACATGCTATGACAGGTTTGGAAGCAGGAGCGGCATCCACTTCCTAATAACATACCTCCGGAAACTCCATGAACTTTGATAAATGTTGATAGTTGCAGAACGGCTTCAGGCCTTTTGTTCATGGGGTCGCTATGAGTCGTGCTCGACTGGAAGGCTGTCAGCAACAACAAATCGCACAGCAGGAGATGGCTCATCCCAAATCTGTGTTTGGAACCTGCCAAATAGAACTTACCCTCCTCTACTTTGAGTTGTCCGCCTCTAGCTTCCATGATCTTTTGACTTTGGCCTCAAAGACATGCTTCTACTAAAATCATGAGATTTTAAAATCATGGCAGAACCAAGAACCAAAAGGTACATCCTTCTGGTGGGAAGTGGAAGAGCGGAAGTTTTAGTTGGTTGGTTCCAAACACAAATTTGGCTTTTTCTTTGACTATGGGAGGGAGGTTTGATTAGGCAATATGATGTAATTATCCTGAAGCATTTTCCAAGGGGTGCTGAGGGGATTTCTGATGAGATTTTTGTGTCAGGACCCTCCCTTAGGGACTCATGCATTTCTGTGGAGTCAGGACTGATGCAGCTTATCCATAGTGAGTTTTCAGAATATGTAAATCTAACAGAAGGAGATCGCTCACCTTTCTTCCTTGGAGCCCCTGGTGAAGGTGCCACCTTTGGGTTATCAGCATAATTTCTTATATATTCTTGTGGTTGTGTGCCGTCACACAGCAACCCTGTGTACAGCAGCTCTGAAGGCTGCCCTGTCCTGAGCCAGTCTCACTGACTCCGATACACCTACCCCCATCGCCCCAGTTACTGTATCCATCCATCTCATCTGGCATCTTCCTCTCCTGTGCCGTCCCTCCGTCCTTTCAAGCATCATGTCCTTCTCCTGGCCACACACCCAAACAAAGTACGTGAGCTGGAGCTTCAAAATTCTAGGCTCCAAGGAGAAGTTTGGTTTCACCCTCTGCAAGACAGACTTGTTTTCTTGGCAGTCCATGATATGTTCAATACTCTTCTCCAGCACAGCTCAAAGGCATCAATTCTTATTCTGTCATCCTTAGTCATTGTCCAGCTCTCTGATGCATAGCTAGTAATTGGAAAGACATAAGCCACCTTATCACTAGTTTAACCATCTCTCAATTCTATAGTAATTCCTACTCCTGGCCGCCCTCTACCAGGTCCCAAGACTGAATCTTCACAAGAGGAGAATTTCCATCTTTCTTAGCGGGGCAGCTAGTAGATTCTGACCACTGGCCTTTTGATTATCAGGCCAACTTGTTACAGCCTCTGTTTCACACTTCAGTGTATCTAAGTGTTTGACTAAGAGAGAGAGTAGGAAACAGGCCTGGAAACTGGCCGTCTGATAAAAGACCCCTGAAGACTCAGTGCATAGCAATGGAACACTGATAGGGTTTTGAAGATGGACCTCTCAGCTTTGAGGGCCTTCAGAATGCAACTGGGAAGAACCGTCTCCCTGAAGCAGAGTCTACCTTGATGGCATGGATGGAGCAAAGTTTTTAGCCAATAAAGGACCTTCATTGGTGATGTAGTATGACTCAAAATGGGGAGAAATGGCCTCAAATATTCATTAGTAACTGGAACATGGGGTGTAGTAAGCATGACTCTAGGGAAATTAGAAGTTGTAAAAAAGAAAATGAAATGTAAATAAATATCCTGGGCATTGTTGTTATTATGTACCATCGAGTCAGGACAGACCCGTAGCTGATCCTCCAGCGGGTTTTCAGAGGCATTATATCACGGAGGAATTGATTGACCACCGCCTCCCATGGAGCAGCTGGTGGATTTGAACCACATGTCTTCGGGTTAACAGTGGAATTCCTTACCACTAGGCCACCAGAGCTCCTTTCCTAGACATTAGTGAACAGAAATACATCTTCACCAACCAATTGAGTTGGACAATCATATGGTCTATTATGCTGGAAATGATAAATTGAAAAGGAATGGCATTGTAGTCCTCATCAAAAAGAATCTTTTAAAGATCTGTCCTGAAGAACAATGCTGCCATTATCAGAATAAAATGCATATGCAGATGAGAAAAACCTCATGACTACAATGTCTGGTATTAAACTTGACACACCAAACGTTAAATCCAAACAAGAAGAAATTAAATATTTCTACCAACTTCTGCAGCCTGAAATGGATCAGACGTGCAGTCAAGGTACATTAATAAGAACTAGTGATTGAAATACAAAAATTGTCAACAAAGAAGAAAGTTCATTAGTTGGGAATAAGATCTTTGTGATAGAAATAAGACCAGAGATAGCAGGAAAGAATTTTGTACAATAATGGTTTATTCATTGTTGATACTTTTAAAAAACCTAAAACAACTAATTGGAGACTATACTTAGAGACCTCACCTGATGAAATACACAGGAACCAAATTGACCCTATGCCTATCTATGGCAAGGGACAGCCCAGTACCATCAGTCCAATCAAATCAAAGCTGAAGAAAATGAAAACAAGTTCATAAAGGCCAAAACACAACCTTGAATTTATCTTATCTGAATTTAAAAACCAATCTGTACAAAATGATGGGAGGGAAAAATAAGGCTGCAGGAGTAGACAGAATATCATCTCAGATTTTTTTTAATATATTTTTTTTTAAATTTCTTTTATTTCATTATTTTTTGTGTGTACCGTCAAATCAGATCTGACTGGTACAGGAGGAGATTGTTCCTCCTTCTCCGGCAGAGCACCTGGTGGATTCGAACCGTGCATCTCTAAGATTGCAGTTGCAGCTTCTTGCCACTAGGCCACCAGAACTCGCCATCTCAGATGTTTTAACAAATAGATGCCGCTTTAGATGGACTCCCTAGCCTGTGCCACAAAATGGAAAGACCTTCTAACTGACTGGAAAGAGATTGCTATTTGCGACCATTCCAAATATTACAAGTAAGGTAAACATTGTTTCATTCATAAGACGCAGTGGAACAGGGGATGCCATTGCTGATAGCAGACCCATCTTGCCTGGAAGCAGGGAATACCAGAAAGATGGCTATCTGTGTTTTATTGACTATGCAAAGGCCTTTGACTGTGTGGATCACAACACTGAGAAGAATCAGCATTCCAGGACACTTGATTGTACTCATGTGTGATGTGTACATAGGCCAAGAACAGAACACTGCATAGTTTTAAGTCAGGAAGGGTGTCCATCAGGGTGGTATCCTTTCACCATACCAATTCGGTCTGTCATCTGAGAAGTTGAACTATAAGAAGAACGTGGTGTTTAGACTGGAAGAAGACTCATTATGCAGATGGCACAACCTTGTTTGCTGAATGTGAAGAGGGCTTGAAGCACCTACTGCAGAAGATCAAGACTGCAGCCTTCAGTGTGGATTATATATCTAGAAAAGGAAATCACAGGGTTAGGGGGGAGACTAAGAAAGATCAGAAAAATGATGTATACTACATTGAAACAGATGAGAGAGAAAACTGTTTAAAAGGGATATGTGATTAGGTATTGTCACGACCAGAGTACAGAACGAAGGCTGCACAGTGGAGTGAACTTGGGGGGGAGGGATTGTATAACAATGAAAGAATTTTTCTCTTACTTTTCAAAGAGAAGAGCGAACTGGGGTGGGGGAGGGTGGGCAGGGAGAAAAGTGCAACAATGAATGAATGGAAATCCAAAGTCTCTATAAACTTTTATTAAAATTAATTTTTTAAAAAGCCAAATTGTTAAAAAAAAATTGTAAGTCCTCACAGCCAGATCAATAGGCAACAACATGACAAATGGAGAAAAGATTGAAGTTGTCTTTTTGCAGAAATATGTTTAGAGCTGGTAATATTAATAAAGCCATGGTATGAGCCTTAAGGATAATTAAGATCATTAAGGTCCCGAAAATGGCTACATCTGAAAGAAAAAAAAAAGATTAAAGTTGTCAAAGATTTAAATTTATGTGAATCTACACTTAATACTCATGGAAGTCATTGGGCAAATCTGCTGTCAAGGATTGTTTAAAGTGCTAAAGAACAGATGTCACTTTGAAAACGAAAGTAGGCCTGACTCAAACCATGGCATGTGCCGTATGCTTGTGAAAGTTGGTCAATGCATAAGGAAGACTGAAGAAATGATGCCTTTGGATTGTGGCCTTGGCAGTGAGTACTGAATAAGCCATGGTGTAAGAACAGTGTAGCCAGTGTGGAGGTGGCAGAGTCTGACCTCTACTAACTGTGTAAAGGGGAGAGTCCATTCCCAACAGCCACCACACAGCCACTTCCTATGAGGTCAGCCCCCATGCTCTTGACCCACTTTTATTAATTCTGACATCATTGGTTCCTCCCCTGGCTCCCTCCCTTCTACTACTAAGTTTTCCGGTTGTTTGTAATGGCCACAAAGAACACAATGTTCACGATTATGGGGTTTATTAAGGAAGCTAACAGTTTACAATTCAGGTGGGAAACAGGATAGAATTCCTCCGTTAGGACAGGCATGGTCTTCTCAGTCATGGTCGCAGGTCTCTGATCTTCAGCGTCCCAGCTCTTGGTCAATGTTTCATGGCTCTTTCAGTTCTTTCAACGATGGTGTCTGCACCACGTCATCTTCCTTCCCTGAGCCTCGCTCTCCAGGAAGTTTGGGCCTTTAGCTCTGGCTCAACAGAGCGGGAGTTCTACTTCAGTTCTGTCTCATGGACCTCTGGCTCTCCATCAACTCAGCTGCTCTGGTCTAGGACCCGCTCTGCTTCTTGCACAAATCGCTGGTCCAAACAGACATTCACTACACTTTCTACTGCTTCTTTCTTGATAGTAGCAAGATTCCCATTTTCTACCTAGCTGTTGTTATTGTTAGGAGCCTTTGAGTTGATTGCACCTCATAGTGGCCTTATGAACAATGGATTTGAAACCTTCCCTCTCTTGTGCCATCCTCACCGTCTCTGACATACTTGAGACAATTGTTACAGTCACCTTGTCAGCCCATCTTGTGGGGAGTCTTCCTCTCCCCCACTGGACGCTCACCTTTCGAAGCATGATGGCCTTCTCTAAGGACTATCTCCTCCTAACAACATGCCTAATGTACATGAAATGTAGCCTCACCATTCTTGCTACCAAGGAGCACCTTGGTTGCAT